CTTCAGGGTACCTAGTGCCCTTTGCTTTTTCTGGCACTAACTGTTAGAGCCCTAACTTCCCAAGCATTCCTGTAGCACCTGCTCTTGGTCTCCAGAACCTAGCCCTGCTATGGCAATTTCCTTTCAGAATAAGTATTTTAAATCATCACAGGTTCTCTGCCTAAAGACCAGTTGTCATTTGGACAAAAAATGGAAAACTGTAGTATAATACCATCACGTAGGCTTTAGATGCCAATCTTTTCCCCAGTCCTCCCTAAAATAACAAGTCCAATAATGGGTCACCTGTGAGTCCTGTGGGAGGTATGTTGGACCTTGCAGACCACAACTTAAATTTGTATTTCCAGAGTGGTGGTGTGCTTTGAGAGGCTAGCAAATTGCCAAGTGCCTGAATAAGGGACCAGGACACAGGTGTCAAAAAACATTACTTTTCACTGCTCATTTGTATAATGCTTGACAAATTACAAAGATATTGGCATTTTATTTAGTCCTCATAACTATCCTACAAGGGTAGGTGCTATCTTCGTTGCACAGTTGGGAGAGCTGAGGTTCAGAAGGACAGAGTTTACGAACGACTTTTCACTCTGTCCAGTGGTTCAATGGTTAGCACATTGGCCTGTGCACCAAAGGATCACAGGTTCAGTTCCCAGTCAAGGGCACGTATCTGGGTTGTAGCAAGTTTGATCCCCAGCCCCATTTGGGGAGCATGCAGGAGGTAACTAATCGATGTGTCTCTCTCAAATCAATGTCTCTCCCTCTCTCCCTTCTACACAACGGAAAAAATATCCTAGGGTGAGGATTAATAATAAATAAATAGTGACTTTTCTCCCTAGACCTCCATCCAAAAAGTAGTAGGCCTGAGTGCTAATAAAATGCCTGCAAGGCCCCACTGAATTTGAATTCACTTCTTTTTAAAAAAAAAAAAAAAAAGTATTTTTATTTATTTCAGAGAGGAAGGGGGAGAGATAGAAACATTAATGATGAGAGAGAATCTGATTGGCTGCCTCCTTTATGCTCCACACTGGGTATCAAGCCTGCAACCCAGGCATGTGTCCTGATTGGGAATCGAACCGTGACCTCCTGGTTTATAGGTCGACACTCAACCACTGAGCCACACCTGCCCAGCTGTATTCACATCTTGAGTTTACAAGGCCACCAAGCTATGGAGGCATGGCAGCAAGATTCAAATAAATGAAAAGGGACCTTGACCATGTGTGCATTAGAAAGCCACCAAGATGATAAAGGATTAAAAAGCAGGATGCTCTTATACTTTTGTGGCCCCTTAGCAACTTGGCTGCACCATCCACCCTAATGTTGTTGCCTTTTGTATAGGGAAGGTCTTTATCATGGGGCGGGCTGCCCACCATTTCTCCTGTGCATTTGCTCATGTAGTTTCACAAGGGGTGGTTTTCCTTCTTTCCTCCATCTATCTACACTCTTCAGCATACATCCTTCAAGCCCCAGTTGCTAAAATATGTCTTCTAAATTTTGTTTCTTCCTTTCTTAGAAAACTTAAAGCACAGGCTTTGCCCCCAATTAGATGGAGTGTGGTATAGCATGCTGCCATTTGTCCATAGTAGTGCTGTCACCACCTTGTTTCATTTCTCCTGGTCAATTGTAAGTTACTTGAGGGCAGGGATAGATTCTTATCTGTATTTGTTTTCCTCAGAGGACCCAGCACAGTGATTGCCATAGTGTAATATCTGAGAGGAACAATAAGCATTTGTATATGAAAGATAATAATATCCAGGAAAATTTTACTTGGACTGATGTGGATTGGAACTATCTATATATATAAAAGCCTAAGTGACTGAACGACCGGTCACTATGATGCACACTGACCACCAGGGGGCAGATGCTCAACACAGGAGCTGCCCCCTTGTGGTCCGTATGCTCCCACATGGGAATGTCGCTCAGCTGACCGACCTGGCCCAGCGGCCCACCAGCCAGGCTGCAGCCACTCACTCCCTCAGTAGTCCTGCAGGTCCAATCTCCGGAGAACGGGCCAGGCACCAAACAATCCTGACAGTGCTGCTGGCCTCCTGGAAGTTGGCCTCTGGCACTGCGGCGACTTCCCCTCCCTAGACACTCCGCAAGGAAGAAACAATATAAAAGTGGCCGTCAGGTGGCTCCTAACAACCAGCTTGAATGTCAGCAGGACAGGGATCCCAGGCTGCAAGGGTGTCCCACCGCCTACCCAGAGGGCCGATTGTATCCCGGCCCCACCCCCACCTCCCTTGGGGCCCCACTGTGCATGAATTTGTGCACCGGGCCTCTAGTGTTAAATTAATAAAAGATGTACATATGAGTGGACTTTCTGGGAGTGAGTGTTTAACCCAGGAGACTTGTGAAGTTGTCATTGCATGACTGGCAGCCTTTCAGAAGACAAGAGACCCTGGTCCAGTCTCTGTAGAAACTATTAGATGCAGCAGGGCTAATGACCCAACTTTAAGCAGAGGAAGGAATACCTTCCAAGACACAGGACTGGCCTCTCCTCTGTCCCCTTAGGGGAGGGCACAGTCTGTGCTCTGGGCCAGTGAGAAGGCCTTATGCGCTGGGGGAATGGGGATAAGGGGTGGGCAGGGTTTGGGCTGGTAAGAGCACAGACCCCAAGACAAAATCACAGTGGTTAAGGGGAGCACAAGAGCAGAGGAGGTCTTACCTGGCACAGCCAGCTCAGGTCCCAGGGCCCTTAGCTATCTCTCACGCCAGTCCAGATCAGCAGCCAGGCTGTACTTTGCCTTGATCAAGGGAGGAAGAAAAATGGCCTGGCTCTTAGAGAAGACCCCACTTCTCCCAAGTCTGGCAGGAGCGTGACTTCAGTTTCCTTCTGTTCTGAGCTCTTCCCTGTAGGCGTCTGGAGGGAACACACAGATGGGTCGGCTGATAGACTGGCTGAGTTGGGGGAGGAAAGCCTGTGGTGTATGTGGTTCCCTCATGAGGAAGTCCGGCCATCATCATCTTCAGAATTCTGCCACATGAAAGGCACTGGGCTTTCTGTCTTTTTTTAAAATATATTTTTATTGGTTTCAGAGAGGAAGGAAGAGGGAGAGAGGGATAGAAACATCAATGATAAGAGAGAATCATTGATCGGCTGTCTCCTGCATGCCCCACACTGGGGATTGAGTCCACAACCCAGGCATGTGCCCTGACTGGGAATCAAACCATGACTTCCTGGTTCATAGGTCAATGCTCAACCACTAAGCCACCTTGGCTGGGCAAGGCACTGGGCTTTCTTGTTTCTCATTCCTCCCCTCCTGCCACTTTTGACCATTGGTGGTACTCTTCCTCTAGAAAAGCCCTCCTCCCTGGGCAGTAGCCTCTGGTGACTGTATTTCCACCTTCTTTTTTAAAAAATTTATTTTAGCCCTAACCAGTTTGGCTCAGTGGATAGAGCGTCAGCCTGCAGACTGAAGGGTCCCAGGTTCGATTCCAGTCAAGGACATGTACCTGGGTTGCGGGCACATCCCCAGTAGGGGGTGTGCAGGAGGCAGCTGATCGATGTTTCTCTCTCATCGATGTTTCTAACTCTCCCTCTCCCTTCCTCTCTGTAAAAAATCAATAAAATATATTTAAAAAACTTATTTTAGAGAGAAGAAAGGAGAGAGACTGTACCCACCCCAACCAGGGATTGAGCCTGCAACCCAGGCATGTGCCCCTACTGAGAATTGAACCAATGACCTCTTGGTTCATGGGTTGATGCTCAACCACTGAGCAACACTGGCTGAACCCTTTTTTTAAAAAAAAAATGTTTTTATTGATTTCAGAGGGGGGAAGGGAGGGGGAGAGAGGGATAGAAACATTGATGAAAGAGAAACATCAATCGACTGCCTCCTGCATGCCCCCTACTGGGGATCGAGCCCACAATCCAGGCATGTGCCCTGACCAGGAATTCAGCTGGTGACCTACTGGTGCATGGGATGACACTCAACCAACTGGGCCATACCGGCTGAGCTAACCCTAACTCTTAATGCCTTAGCATCCTCCCACAACCTGCAACTCCTCCCTCTTATAACCAGCCACTCAGTTGCCAAGTCCCATCTATTCTGACTCTCATACCCATGCTGTCTCTACTTTCCCACTGCTATCTGTCTCAGGATGGTCCTTCATTGCCCTTCAGATGTAACACTTGTAATTGGTTCCTACATTCAGGTCCTCAGGCCTTGCCTCTGCTGCTCTAATCCATATACACCTCTCCCAGCCTCCTTTTCCCAAAGACCATCATCTTTTTTTTTTTTTTAATATATTTTATTGATTTTTTACAGAGAGGAAGGGAGAGGGATAGAGAGTTAGAAACATCAATCAGCTGCCTCCTGCACACCCCCTACTGGGGATGTGCCCGCAACCAAGGTACATGCCCCTGACTGGACCCTTCACTCCGCAGGCCGACACTCTATCCACTGAGCCAAACCGGTCAGGGCAAGACCATCCATCTTATTGCCTACAGCACTAACTCCTTTGCCAGCATTTAAGGTCCTTTGTAATAGGGCTTCAAACCTTTTCCATGTTCCTCTCTTACCCTCCCCTTCATGTCTCTGAAGTTTCAATTAAACTGCAGAACCATCTGGTCTCTTAATGGGCCCAGTGTGTTTTCCTGCATTTTAACATTTGAACTGTCTTTGTTCATGGTCCCCAGAGATTAGAGCTGGCTTGCTCTACTACAGCCATGTAATTTCTCTGGCCCTTTGACCACAGCCACTGCCCACGGCCCTGCTCATTGTGTTGCCTACATTTCTTCTACTGTTCCTCTTCCTCTCCCTGCCCCCCCCCCCC